AAAAATTTTCTCGTGTAAGTTGCTAACTCGGGCATCTGAGAAGCAAGAAGACTGAAATTTTGAAGGGATGTTTCCTGACAGTCCTGGCGGCCAGTCTGAAATTTTTTTAGCTAAAAGCATTTGCCGCAAAAAACAGTGCCATTAGCGACAAAAATCTGTGGTGAACTATGCAAAAAACGCATCTTCGCACGGGCGGTCCGTGCTTCGGCAAATTATCTTATTTTAGCAATAAAATTCGTGAATTAATTTAACTGCTGTGCTTTTTAATTGAATTTATCAGATATTTTGATGGAAGCATTAAGCGTTATTTCGCAGTGTCGCTTTCAAACAGTGCAGTTGGCAATTTTACAAAGTGCTTTCTAACCAATGCTCATTGCCCGATGTTCAGCCTACAAGCAAACGTGGCATCGTTTTGTCTCCTGAAAGAACTATAACTCAAAGGTTTTCCTGAAAGAGGCAACAGACAAGGCTTTAGCCCTTTGAAGATGTCACTGGTATGTTCTGGCGACTACCATCATTCTGGAGCGTTGCTACTGCTAGACCGCTAGAAGAATTAGTCTGACAAAACTTAAAGTTTTGTATGGCAATTTTTCGACAAAACAGATTGCCAGTAGAGTGATTGCAAGGCTATTCAGCATCAGTCAAAGCGACTAGAAAAGTTGCTGAATGCAAGGCCGGAGAGTGATACTATGATTCATTAGCTGATCAAAACTTCAAAGTAACGTTTTATAGATTCTTTTTACCATTCAGTACAAGTCTCCAAGAAAAATGCAAACGTGTGTAATGTGGATTTTTTTTCACTTTGTGAATTTTCTTCACATTGCACTTGGGCTCATTTCGAGCACTCAAGTAATCTAGCCAACTGCACTTCTTTGTTTAGCGCTTTCTGAAGGACGATTGAAAAAGTGCATCGCAACATCCAAAAATTTCTGGTAGCAGTCCTGCAAGTAATTTGTTATTTCATTTCAGTTTTACCCTCATAATCCGTCTGCAATGGGTGGTATATTTTTCCATGAAGTGGCTCATTTAATTGGAGTACCGCATCACAATGCTACTGATCTTATCGATGTGCCCAATTGCCAGTGTCCGAAAGTGAAAAATTCTAAGTCCGCTGGTTGTCTGAAGATACCGTAAGCAGCTATGCGTATCTTTATTGTTTTTTATTCATTAAAATTTCAAGAGCGTTATTCAAAAAAGAGATTCTTATCTTTTGAGCGGGAAAGAAAATGTCGTGATTATTGGCTCCACCATTGAAAAACGTCCTGAGTGTAAATCGCTGGTCAACAAGCAATCATTTCACGTAACAACTAGGTTTGTGCCAGAAGTATGACTTTAGTGTATTGCAGAGGTTACGATCATGACTGTACGCTGCAGCAGATGGTCAACATGTTGGAGAAGAATCGTTGCCTGAGGCATACCAAAAAACCCTCATTTTTTACGTCAATTACCGATGAAAATTCGTTACCACTATGTGGTAATGGTGTTATTGAGGGCATGGAAGAATGCGATTGTGGTCTGGACAAACTTTGCTATAACTGGAATTGCCGTGCTGAAGAATGCAAACAGATCGTGAAAACTTGGCAGATTGTTGGTTATATTCTTACTTAATTACTTAAAAAGGCTCCTAGTTCTCTCTTTCAAATTCGAAATGATTTTCAGTGGTGTTGCTGACAGTCATACCATTTCCTTGTTTATTTTATGGTTGTTTTGACCAATGCTCAGATCCCTACTGGTCAGCTTCCTGACGATCCTGATATTCCTGTCGTCTCCAGAACGGATTACCGATTCGCCCGACAGAAGCAGTTTACTAAATCTTTAGTCACTTGTAGAATCAATGATGTGTGTTGAACATCACCGCTTCGTCTCCAAGTGTTGCCATTCCCAAGTCACACTAAGGTATTGTGCCGTCTGCGAAATCTAGTTCTGCTCTCATTGCAGAAAAAGGTCCAGAAGAGATTGATTCCACAATGCTTTACCGCATTTCCTGAAAAACATTTATTGTAGTATCTCAGTTGCTGCGCAGCTGCTATGCTTGTCATGGTTGCCACCGTTTATTATACTTATGGATGCTGCCACCGTTGTATTTTATTGCGATGCAAACTTGCTTGCTGTTCGATTCAACATCTGCAGCTCCTTTCTACTCTTAAATCAACAGTTTATCCGAAAAGCGGGTATTTGTGGCACCACCGTAATGCACGCAACTACACAGAATCGCTGCGTCGAGCTGGAAACAGTTATCTCGGTGCTGCTAAGCATCACCTCATTACAGCACCACATAAGGTAAACCAGTCTTGGCTTTTGGTTTTTTTATTTGAATTTGGAATTTTATAAAATAATTTTTTAACAGAAACTTATAAGTCAATTTCTAACTGAAATCTTTTGCAGTAACTTTCTTCACACAGTGCTGCATAGAGTTTGACATTCTTTTCAGACTGAACGAGTCAATAGATTTGAAAAAGCTTGCTATTTTGAGATGGAAAGGGATTAAGAGCTAAGATAGGGGACATTGATGAAAGCTGAGGAGGAGGGATACCATTGTCAAAATCCTCAAAATGGGATGAGCCTGCGTGAAAGAAAAGCTAGTTACATCCAAACAAATCCGAAAGCTCAAATTTATGTAGAAAGCCATTAACTGCGTTGCAGAATACTGAATTTATTCGCTGTAGTAAATTTATTGTGGTGCTAAAGCTTCCCCAGAATGATCTGTCCTCGTTGCTAAAGTCGATGAGTTGCTGTGAAAGTTTTCGGTCGTCGCTCTTTACCACTGTAAAATAACGCCGAAAAGTACAACGTTGGCAAATAGCGTTAAATAATTGCACTACCTCTGTACAGTGTGGGAAGGAATCAGTCGGGAGGTACAGCGTCGAGAGTAATCAGTTGAAAGGTGTAGCCAGAAGGCAACGCCTAGAAGGATGCTGCCGTAAGAACATTTAGATACCAAAAAATGCCCCATCTAGCTCTGGAGCATTTCAACCGCTCAAAAACCGTACCGAAACCAGTAAGACCACCACACGTGTATCGCTAGCTCTTCATGGATAATCGACCAAAAAGATGATGCAACCTTCACCAATCACAGTTGCTCTTACCAAATCTTGATCGCTACACCAATAAGAACAGTACAGTAATAAACAGTTACGGAAACATGAAAAAGAAGCGAGAAGTCATGAAAATTTGCGGAGACATTTTGAAGGGATCTTGACGTACTTGAGAAAAAATACTAAAAAAGAGACAAATCATTGATCCGCCTGAGGAGCAGCAGTTTAAAGCAATTTAATTGGATTGGAATTCTTTCAGGCTTTGACCTCACCCCAAACTATTCGGATCTGACATACCATCGGTAAGATTTTATTTCACTGCGATTTACCGGGCTATGTTTGCTATCAAGTGATTTAATTTTGCAGCTTGATGCAAAAAGCATCGCAATTTTGATCGCTCCGTCTGACCGGGAGTGCCTGGTTCGCAAGACAACGATTCTTCGGCCCACGCGGCCACCACCACCACCACCTCCAGCAGCTTGTGCCCGGTGAGTTACAGTATCTAAGATCTGCTGTGTAATGAACTCTGTATCACTGTGAACAGTTAAAAGACATGATAAATATATTTTACATATACAATACAGCAGATCTTTTCCTAATGGGATTTGATCAGTAGAAACTGTTGGAGCCTTTTCCTGATTGATTAGTGGCGTCCTGTTAAAACCTGAGGGCCTCATCTGCAGTACGCCACTTTTTTAGACAAAACTACGCTTGTATAACAATTTTTTCTAGGGATTTTCACATTTTTTTTTTCTTGGAAAAAGTCAAATTTTCAGAACCGCGTTGCATCAAGCTATGCCACAAATTCACACCATTTCCTGCTCGTCACTCCTAAAGCAACCGCCCCCGCTACCAGTGAAACCGCAGAGCCCACTGCTGGAGGCACCTGGCACTAGTGATGATATCTACGAGTTACCCAATACTGTGCGAAAAAGGTAGTTGTTGCAATAACTTGCAGTTTTAGTTTGATCAGTTGAGTTAGGACCTTCAGGAAGGCAGTCGCAGTAGACGCAAAAAATCGACAAAAAAATGATAAGATAAATGATTAGCGGTTGAACGGAAAGTGATACTTTAATAAATGTAGGGCGTTATAGTGAAGAAAGAAAAGAGTAACGACAAAAGCAGATAAACGAGAAAGTATAACAAATTTAGAGATGAGACGTTTCAGACTCTTAAGTCATGACCGTAGGAGTTCAGCATAGCAGTTCAGGACATTGTCATTACAATGGTTAGGCCGCGAATTAAAAGAGGACTGAAGAAGAGGGGGGAGATAGGGGATATGGAAGAGCGCGAAAAAATGAGGAAAGAAAGATTCTGTAACTTATAAAGATTTATATAATAAATTGTGCCCTCAAAAAAAAATTCCATGAGTTTACTACTTTTTTACTGAAATCGTTCTCATTTGTAGTAGGATATTACACTGAACATCAAACAGTCTAAGTGGTTTCTCAGCGCTAACCCTTATTTACCACTGCGTCACTACTTTTGTGCCAGGTTATCTATGATATCTTCGATGGTAGCTCGATCCAGCACGATGGATTATCTGCTACCACTGCAAGAGCAGCGTAGTGATCAGGACGACAGCATATCACGGAAATTCGATGATGATTTTGATGACGATCTTGATGACAGCGACCTGGCCATGAAGTCGTATCATGACGGACGGCCAACGATTAACTATGCACCAATTATTCCCGCAAAGGAACGTATTCTACTCAAAGGTTTTAATCGCGTCTTTTTCTCCACTGGCTCCTGCACTTAACATTCACGATAAATTACCATGAGCTTTTCGGGAAAAATGTTGTGATGCCACGATTGTATCTCACGGTATTTCAACACTGCTTAGTCCATTACCACAGGGCGGGTACTTGGGTCGGAATTTTATGGGGACAAAATAATGGATTTATGTTAAAGTCAATCAGCTTAATTACCTATAGTCTGGGCGTTTTCTTTGTTTTCATAATATCTGCAATAAAGGAGGTGAAAACGGGATTTCATTTTGCACACTTGACATAATTTTATACAGCAATCTAATTACAGTGAAAAATGAAATAATACCACGTATGAAATCGATACCGTCTCATCAGCTGGAGCAAGTTGTGAACTTAACGGCTCGAGAGGAATCCTTCTCTTCGAGCGAGTCCAGGAGTCAGCTTTGTCAATCGGACGAAACCGTTAGCACTGAGCTGAGCGAAGAAGATGAACGATGCTCTTCCGTTTCTGATATTGTGCGCAAATTTAATCGCCGAAGAAGTTAATGGTGAACTCCCAGAGTTTTTGTACCATTAACCCATTCGACGATAATGAAATTTTAGAAGATCCTATCGCAGTGCGAGGGCAATGCGTCAAATTTCCTGAAATCACGAAATGTTGGCATGAGCTTATGGTCATACAAATTGTTCTGTCTGGAATGGTTGTGCGGCTTCTAGTTGCTTCCTGGTTTCATCAAACACTCTGTATTCATAACATCATATTTTTCATTAAAGTCAGTTAAGAGATCCTTGGAAGTGAAAATTACCACCAGCTCAATGACCACCATTGAAACATTAATTGATTATTTATTCCAAAGTTTTTAGATATCTCCATAACTTTTCTTGTGCAGGGATTTTATTCAGAAGTTGCTAGAAAGCACTATTTTATTAAACAGAAACTCAACTCTTCTCTCACACTCGTTTTTTGTAAAAGGTGGAGGAGTTGGAAAAGCAACTCTAATGGTAGCAACTGCTAACGGAAACCACCCGATGGTAAAGCTGTTTGCGGCTCGCTTTTTCAAGAGTTACTTACAAGCAAGCCGATGACTACTTGCCACATGTGCCATCAACATTTTACCATCAAAACGAATGAACGAATCGTAGAAGAATTGGTATCCTCGGGCAGAGTCGACCCGTCTACCTAGTGCAAGACAATAGTGATGCCCCAAATCCGAAGTGATTTTTATTTTTATTTTCCTTTCACTTTTGGCGTTTTAGGCACAGATCAGAACAAACCACTGCGGGGCTACATGCATGTGTGTGTGTGCTACGGTTGTTCAAACCTCAGGAATGCAAAAACAAAGAAGCTCTGCAGTCGTTCTTGATCTTTTGAACTTAATTCCTAGATTTCTTTGTTTTCTCCCCAAGGCCCAAAATTTAGCTAATTATTGAACGATTTTACAAACTCGGTGTCTGTTATGAAATTAAAAGCACTTATGGCGTATCTATGCGTGTACAGCTGATTATCGCAAAAATTCTTGATCGCAGCAGCTCCAGGCACTGTTTGCACTAGTCTTAATGTTCTCTTGACTCTAGAAAAATTTGAGTGTTCTATCATGATTGTGTCTCATAAAAACTGCTATCTGCTATTTAGATTGTAATATTGCTGCCGCTTGCTGTATAAATTATCACTGTAAAAGTTTTGCGATGTAACTAGGACTAAATTAGATTAATCAGGACCGGATTAGATCGAGTGAAATTAATAAAGCTAAATAATCATGAGCTCGCAATAACTGAACAAAATGAGTTGTGTTGCAGCGGATGTTTGCAGCATAACACGTAGAAGCAAAAATGTAATTTTATGCTTGAAGCAGGAAAATGGGGGAAAAGGTGTTCTTCCTAAGGGAAGTTGTCATGAAGACGATAGTTCTCTTCTCTCTTTTACGTTGTCCTTTCGAAAAGAAACTTGCAATGGCGACGGTAGCCCTATTTTAGGATATTTTTAAGATCTGATTTTTGAGAGGAACGCTAGAGCCATGGCGTCAAATCCCCAAATCCTTTACAGTTCTGCTCTTCACCTTTCCGTTGTTATTTTATTTTGTCATTTCTTTTTGCCGTAAGAAAATATTAACAAAGTGTTTTTTTCCTTTTCCGGACCATTTTTTATCTCAGGTGTCACTATCTTTATTCAGTCATCACTTTCCAAGTTTCTGTTCCGTTTATTTGTAATACTAACATTCAGCCACACGTCAGTCCTCTTTTCGAGATGTGGTCGTGACTAAACCATAATGCATTTGGATTGGATACAGTGCATTACCGAACAACTAAGACGCTGAGTTTTGCTAGTGCCAAGTTAGCAAAGATACAATTTATGGGACAGAAATAATTTTTCACACAGACACCTCGTGACGCAGACATTCGTTGGTATAAATTGGGCGCGACTGTAACCTACCGATGATGTAGCCTGGATTCTTTCCGAAATTGAATATTTTGAAAACTATTAGACCAAGGACTAGGGAGGACAATTTTTTATATTTATTAAAAAAGATACATGAAATGTGATTTTTTTTGTTAATCATATTACATTTTTTCGATGAAAAATAATTAGCTGAATGATAACCTAATAATTGAAACACACAAGAATACTGAAAATACTACCGGTTTCGAATATCAAATCCATAATTTTATCTTAAAATACAATTTTATAAATAAATTATCATCTCTGTCGGTAAAATTAAAACAGATTGAAACTAAAATGGAATGTCCATAAAATTATCTGCTCATAACATAGTTCCTTGTGTGCTCATAACATAGTTCCTGAAAGTTTCTGAAGGGGACGACCCCTTCAAGGGACGTCTTGCCTCTCCTTGGCTGCTGTGTTGGAACTCGCCGGTTGAATTTTTGCATCTCAGCTGTTGTAGCACAACGTTTTCACACTCCCTTGTCGCTGTTTTTTTTTTCAAATTTCCACATGCTTTGACGAATTTATGTTCACTGCAGTGTTTGCTTTGTTGTTACGAGCAGTTATGCTATTGTTGTTCTTTGGAATAAAATTATGTGCCTATTCGTATAAAATTCTCAAATGTTTCCAAATTTAAGGTTGTCTGCTTCGCAATTCCATAAGAAAAAGGCGCACGAATGTCGGCCAGACGGAGGTGAAGTGTGCAGCCTAGGATCGAAGCGATTGACGTAGCTGCGCTCAGCGTGTGGGAGCATCCCGTTAACCTTACTTGCATGAGGTACCTACACCAATCCGTGCGGTACTGCTGTTCCTAGTAATGATGAGTATTGGGTGCCTGGCTGTTTCTTTATTTCTTGTTCGAGTACTAGCTTGATACAGTCCTTCTGCAACAAATTTCTATCCTGAGATAACGATAAAGCAAAGGGAAAAGGACAGTTTTCCCTAGAGCAATAAATAAATTATCAGTTATTAGTCAAAATTTGAGGTGGTATTGTTGATAAGTGAGGTTGAAATAAACGCATCAACTGTACTGAATTTATAATTTTCTTCCACGGAATCACGAAGAGAAAAATCACAACAGCAAATCACTACAGCAATATCATTTGCATCACTACAGCAGTATCAGTTGTATTCGTGACAGTTTCGCGGAATCCAATATAAATTACCAGATCCCTCCCGTGCATGTCCAAGCATGCCCGGATAACGGCGCCTATCCAGATTTTTGTTTTTATGTGCTTTACGACCGAGCTGAATAAGCACTGTGAGAATTTTATTGTGCTGACTTGCACAGCAGGATTGGCAATCCATCAACAGCGGCATTCGCCTAACACGATTTTTGTTTTCACACCACAAAAAGTAACATCTGCGCCTCGATAAGCTCCACTCGCACCTGTGCCCTGAGTAACATTCGCCCAAAACCGATCTTAAGTTTAGCTTAAAGTTCTGCTTCCTCCAAAAAAAAAGCTTCAGTTTACTAAAAAATTTCAAAAAAAGGCTCGGATATGGAAAGGGTTAAAGGTAATGCGAGTTCTAGTTTCTCACGACTTCCATTTCTTTGATCTTCATGAGTCGAGCTATTATAGAGCCGTTTTGCATAAACAGGGTAATTTTGCAAGCAAATTATTATTGGGTCGTGGGAAAAATACTGATTTCTTCAAAAGTTCGTGGGAATTCATTTTTGTCCAGGTTCTTGGCAAATAATTTTGTTGACATGCAAAAGTATGGCCAGTCGATGTTCTTCCACAAGGCAATGATTTTTTCAAAGTTTCAAATGACAAACATAAAAA